AAACTTCTTTCTTTCTTTTGTTTATTTTTTTCCCCCCCCCCCTCCCTGAACTGTCAGTATTCCTTCTAGGAATTTTTAAGCGGTGGGGTTTCAGTGTTCAAGAAGCCAGCACTGATCTTTTCCTTGAAAGAATACTTGGGTGCATTAATCCCCACATGAGGAATGTAGCTGGCTCACCTAAGTCCATCCCTACCACAGGAATTCTAGGACTGTTAGTGCATTGTTTCAGTTCATTATTTTTATCCTGTGTTTGAACTTTGAGTCTGGCTCTATGTACTAGAGGTATAACTCCTCATGAGACTATACTAAATAGATTCTCATTAACTTCTTCAGTTTAACATCTGCTTTTTTATTTGTATAATATCAGGCTTTCCGATTCTTTAAGAAAAACTCAATTCCTTCGAAGTCTCTAGAAATCAAAAGAGATTTAATGCTTTTTTTTTTTTTTTTTTTTTAAATGATGGGGAAATAATATATTTTCTGAATCCTATACCAGCATTTTATTTATTTGATGGTTTTGTATTTTGCAACACCAATGTGAAGTGAGACTATTGCATAGTTACAAGACACTTGGTCTCTAATAAAGTAGTCTTACAGAAGGGTGCCCAAAAATGGGAGCTTCTGGTCTTCCTGGTTGTGCAAGTGTGGGGAATTAGTTTGTTTTCCAAAACGGTCTAACATTGTTTTCCAATAAAACTAACCTGTTGCATGTGTTTCCTGCTGCTGAACTCCCCCAAGATTTTTCTAATTCTTTATGTGGAAACAAAAAAGAAGGAACTATAAAATTTTTATGTGAAACTTTACATGGACTCTGAATTACTGGATTGTATTTAAATGACAGAGATGTTCAAATAGATTTATGCTGAGCAGGTGGAAAAATTGAACTTAGATTTACAGTCTGGTGTCTATGAATTCTGTTAAAACATCTGGCATGCTGTAAGTAGCCACTGGATGTCACTCTTGCTTAACTTGTGTGTTGGTTGCTGCAGATGTGTGGTAGTACAACTGTTCATGTCTCTGTTAGTAGCTGTATCAATATTGTAAACATTCATATTGAAAATCTTCAGATAGTGCCTTCAGTTTTCGAACATGCTTAGTACTTGGGAAGCATGGCAGGTGCCCATTCACTAATCCTGAATAATTGTCATTAATTCTATCAGAAAAAATAACAGACACATAAGTATTGTTTAGCATTTGCTTTAAGAGTTCTACAGTTCTTGTATGGTTTATCTAATGGTTAAGCGAAGCTGAGCTTTCCCCAAAGCAAGTCACAAACCTTAAGTGCCTGCATTCAGTAGAGCATATCTGCACATGCACAGCTCAAATGTACTATGTAGGCTCAGCGTTTCCCAGAATCACTCAGGTGATGCACTCGGGTAAATCCTTGCTCATTCCAGAACAAGAAAGGCAGCTGCTAAGAGAGTTCATGTAGGCTGCTTTCCTCGGGGCAGATGGAGATTGGATAGTGATGTGTATTGGAAAGATAAATTGTTCTGGCATCAAGCGCTTATGAACCATCAATCTTCTTCCAGGGGCAACAATGGACTTAATTGTGCATGTGCAGGACACTTACTCTGAAATGGGGTGTCACACATGGGGAAAATGACAAGTAGGAATCGTGCTTCTGGAACAGTCTGCAACCTGTTCCTAAGAGGTATTAAATTGTCCTGTGGCGTCTGAAGGGCATATTACTACAGTGGGCGAAGCATTTGGGTATTGTAAAATGTGAAAGGGTAACTCTAAAAACTTGTCAGTTATACTTATTCAGCTGTTAAATTTTACATGACTGTGAAGAAGTATCTCAGGTCAGACTATAAATCCTTTTTCAAAATAAGTCAAATGAGTAAGTAGTGATTGCCTAGCAGTGAAATCGTTTTATCCTCCTTTTACGCTTTCCTTACCTCCTTATTTTTCTAGTGGACCAGATGAAGAAGAAGAACGGCTAGCTAGAAAGAGAGAGGAACGAAGATTACAGTCTCTTCAGAGGTAAGTCTTGCCAGCTTGGTACACAGCTATAGACTTCCGGGTAATAGAGGAGTATTCTGCCCTTCTAATGGAGTACTAAACAAAGAGACACTGTGGAGTTAGGCATGACAATGTCAGGTGTTTACAAAACAGGGCTTATTCTGAGCTTTGTGAACCTGACTAGGAGCCTGTATTTCCATAAGTGAACAGAGTGTGAGTAGGTTGATGATCACTGTGGCAGGTACCACAAGTGCGCTGTGTCAGCCAAGAGCAAACAGGAGGGGTGTGTCTGAAGTCTTGCCTTGTCTCTCCTGGGCTGATGCTTGTTTGTGGCATGAGTTAATGCCCAAGTGAGGCTGGGATTCAGAGGTGAAAACAACTTTCTTGATTCATTTGGTAACTGGTTCTATTAAAATCTGGTTGAAAAAGGTAGATAGAGAAGTTGCTAGTGAGATACCCGTTAGAAATTTTTCTCAGGAAATGGAAAACTTTGGCTCAGATCTCACTTTAGACTTAATTCTGCATTTCTATCGTTTCTGTTAGAACTATGTAGAAAAAAGTGCAAGAGTCAGCAGTAATACAGTGCTTCTCGGTGAGAACGGTATTCCTTCAGATGTAGGTTTTTATAGTGTAGTTCTCCAATGACTCTTCATGGGTTTTACATTTATTCTTTAGGTAACCAATTTTCATAGGTAGGACCATGACACCTAATATAAACCCGATCATACCTTTTGAATCATACTTCCTTTCATGATCTGTTTTGGAGAGTCACAGTGGATTAGCTTCAGCAAGACACGAGTCCTAACCAAACTAATGCTAGGTTTGAAGCTGTCAGGTGTGGGTTTGAATCCCCACAGACTGCCAAGGTAATCGATCTTTGGTTTGCCACTTCCTGGTTATGTTCTCTAAACACATTCCTGCCAAGTAACAGGTGGGCGCCTTCACTGCCTTGCTGATACCTACTGTTTTCTCCTGATCCCAGATTGATTGTTAATATGAGCAGAGACTGCAGGGAGCAAAGCATACTTCCAGATGAGACCCCTTGTGGAGCTTTTGCATGAAGACGTTGTTTCTCTATTATATATGTGCACAGGAAGACAAGGCAGACAGGCAAACATGCTTGGTTTGCTCAAACATGGTATGTTTCTGGCTTGGCAGAGAAATGAGAGCCAGTAAGATCTTTCTTAGATATGTACCTACTGTCACTCATATCTCTGACCAGCAGGAGCTGGGAAAATTGCTCATCTTAACTCCATGCAAATCTGTTTTCTGGTTCTGAACTGCCAGGTTATATAAGCCAGTGTTTGCCCTGAATCTGATAATGATTGTGCCTCTGAAGTAGGCACTGTGATTCTAGGAGGCAGAATAGCTTAAATTGATGTGTGCTTTAGCCTAAACTTGTTAGCAATAGAAACAATTAGAATGGCATACAATGGGAATGTTTAATGAAGAATTTTTCAGAGCTTTGCTTAGTGCAAAGCTTGAATGATTAGTTTTAGTTTTGTGATTTTGATTAGGTTTTAGAGCTATTACACACTGGCAGTTTAATGTATCTATTTCAGTTTTTTACTAACTGTGTAATACAGTTTAGTAGCATTTAAATCTACCAGATTGTCTTTATTCTGCAACAAGTTTTCTTTTTAACATAGTGTTGCAGTAATGTATATTCTGCATTTGTACTTGTTTAGGAAAGCATAAGCTTAAAAGTAACTTTCTGCAGAGGGAAGATGAGAGCTAAATGTCTCCTGGCATAGCTGAGCTAAAATTACTATTTTGAAAATGCATATTTTTAGGTGTAATGATGCTACTAGTTTAACCTGTTAGATTGTGTATAAAGACATTCTACTTCTGATGTAACTGTGAGCTGCTGATGCATTCTTTCATGCCCAAGGCACAGCATTCCTTAACTCTGTTTTGCTAAAATTTGTTTTGCAGAAAGCTGTTCACATTTCTGTAGGGTTTTTGATTTTTATTTTTTTTTCCTGTTGAGTGACTTCAGTGAACAGTCTCAGCATGTATCCATAAGGTTGCTGGGATCCACAGGATGCAAGGACAGCATGAATCCAGGGATATTCTCTGTGAAGCAGAGAAACTGTTCTAATTGCAAGAGAGAGCTTAGCAGCAACCACATGGTATTTCCCATATTCTGAACATGCATACCTATTGTGTGTGTCGCTGGGGGTTATGGGAAACCACGAGGAGTAAGCCACTTCTGGCAACCAGAACACCTCATCCAACCCACTGCTTGCTTCCTGTAAGTCCTTAGGAGGCTAGTAGTAGGCTATAGAAGAGATTAATAGTCTCAACAAGCCATTTTTGACCAGCATACCACAGAGGAAAACACTGTGCTGTGTGGTCTTTCTTTTCTAGGACCTGCAAAGTTTTCACATAGTTTCTGAAAATAGCTTGATAGATGTTCAGATAAATAGCATGCAAGGAATATGGGCACAGGACTGACCTTGCGTCTGTCTGGGGTTTTCTCCTTTTTCTTTTTTTTTTTTTTTTTTTAATCCCCCTTCTGTGTTACAGCTAATTCATATACAGCTGTTCAGATCAGTTGGCAATGGAAGGAGAACAGCACTAGCGTGAGCTTGGTTTCCTAATTCGATTAGTGAATGGTAAAAACAAAGTAAAGGAATAAGCTGCAAGGTAATTGCAGCACCTCGTATTTTCTGGCTTTTCAGGTACACAGTAAAAGTCTGCTTTTTAAGTTTAAATTTGTTTGTGTTAAAATTCAGTTTACTACAGATACTTAGGAAATGTCTTCTTGGAATACCTAGATGGCTGTTAGAATGAACCCTGGTGGTGTTCAAGGCCAGGCTGGACAGAGCCTTGGGTGACATAGTTTAGTGTGTGGTGTCTCTGCTCATGGCAGGGGGGTTGGAACTAGGTGATCTTAAGGTCCTTTCCAACCCTAACTATTCTATGATTCTATGAAGAGTAAGGGTAATGACATTGGCCCTCTGTCTTCACAAGGACAAAACTAGCTGTCACTTCACTGAGAAGGTTGAAAGTCACTGGTGATTACATGTAGAATTTGCACTTACAGTGAGGGGCAGGAGTGGAAGGAAACCTGGAGTTCAGGTTTTGACTAATACTGAAGGAAAAAGGGTATCTCAAAGCTTTACTCCTTTATTTGACTTCATATAATTTCTAACATGAAAAATCACTTTAAAACATAGCATCAAGTAGTGAGTCTTTTCAGTATGCTCATTTAATTATTTACAGCTGCAAATACATTGTACATTTATATGTTAGATTCATATGATCTATAAACCATGATTTATTTTATGTTAGAAGTTTATAAACAAATGAAAGACAGTGAGATAAACTGCTGAGGCTAAATCAGTAGTGTTCTGGTAAGGAGAACAAGGGGTGGGGGACAGGGAAAGAAAGTATTGCAGTTCATTGGTGAAGAACCAAGTATGGAAAATTATGATAAGAGTTGTTAGTATTAGGAAAAATACTTTCTCAGCTTACAGCAGTGGGGGCAATTTATGTGAAAAGCCAAGAATTTAGCATATAGAAAATGAAGTAATAGTAGTAGTATTAAGAAATAACACGAACTCAGACTGTAAAGTGACTTCAGTTGATCATAATGCAAGATGTGAACAGTGCAGTAAACTGATTCAGTGACTACCTGTTCAGAATTGCATCTGACTCTTCTCAGTTGATGTATACCTAAGCCTTCTTGACTGTACAAGGACTTAGTCATGGCTGATATGATATAATCGTGACTGCCTGACAGAGTTTGAATGTTTCGCAAATACTACTGGTATTACATATCAAACGTAAACAATGTAAGGATTTTAGATGTTTGGTGGTTTGTTTTGAATAGCCTAAGGAAGTATCCTGAAGTGTTAGGGGTTTAAAGCCTACACAGTGTGGTGTTTCTCCACACTCTCTTGCCCTCCTTACACAGATACTTAGTGCTTTCTGTGTTCAAGGCAAATTCAGACTGACTGCTGGGGTGCTTGAGATTTTCTCCGTTATTTCAGACCAGGTATGCAAAACAGTGAAGAACGTGACATTAATTAGTACCACCAGTAGAAAACCTGCATTGATGTCACAGGAAACTATAAAAAAATAAGGCATGACTTTATACAGGAGAAGGCTGCTTTAAGTAGAATTTTGATATTCTCTTCCTGAGATCGGTGCCTCATATAATGTCTTCCTCTTATGCAACACAAAGCAGGAATCCTGTGTTCAGGTTACCCTTAGCAGATAAAGTTGTCTCCTCTTCTTCCTGTTCTCTTCACCCTCTCAGTCCTGGCTTTCTTCCTCTACATGACTTTCATTTAATCTCCTTGATTCCGCAGTTTCTCCTCCTCTTGCAGTTTGGCCAGGTTGCTTTGTTTCCTATGCTGTCTGTGCTTACATAGTGGAAAAGGATATAAGGGGAGATAGGTATCTCGGGGAAATAGTAGTGGAAAGTTTTGAGTCAGTCTTGTTGGTTTTCTCATCACGCTTTATCTGCATGCTTTCCAGAAGTGCCAGTTGCAGGGAAAGGCCAGTTCAGCCCTTTAGCTCTGTAGGAAGCATGATAATTGTTTCTGAGGACACACAGGATCTGATTAGCAGTAGGAATTGTTTGAAGGTGGAATGTGCATAGGGCAGATGGGATCTTTGGTGAATTAAGCTGTCAGTGCTTAACAGCTTTCTGCTGAATATGTGCAAATTAGAATCAGCCAAAAGTCACAACTTGTCTGAATGGGTTGAATTTTGATAGGGGCAACAGTGTACTTATTTGTTAGAGGAGCATTGTTTTGCCAAATTCTATGTTCTTTCCTCAAAACATATAAATCCTAGATCATCCTAGTGAAACAGTTGTGTAGGAGCTTTTTTTGTTTTTAAGCTAAGCAAAATAGATGCTTCCTTTGAAATGTAGGAAAATTATCTGAGGAATGATGGGACAACTTCGTTTAGACTTCCTTCATTTTATCCCCTTCACAAAGGGGGAAGGGGAAGAAGAAGAAACGGACTCATTTGCTTTATGTGAATAATTAAAGTTTGGCAATATTGGATACAGTCTTGAAAACTGTCTTATGATTCGATAACATAACTAGAGGCATCCAATTTTTATATTAGCATCATATTTTAATTCTCTGCATGGAGGCCATGCTGGATTTTTAGAAACTAGTAGTTTTCACTTATACTTGCTGTACTGTCTAAACAAAACAGTAATATACCTTTCATCTTTTTAGAATAACTATATCAAAATAGGATTGAAGGACACTGTGCTTGCAGTTAAATTTTACAGTTAGGCTCCCCGCTGGAAAGCATTAGGGAGTCTTCCAGTGTTGCACCTTATGTATAGATGAATACTTCAATGTGCGGATGTGGACGTACTACTTGTACATAGAAAAAACGGTTATTTTGTTTGTGCTAGCAAGTATGTCCTATTTTTACATTGATTAGTGAGAAGTTATAGGGGATCTTAAAGTGTGTATGGAAAGATAAGGTATATGACTGACAAATGTTATTAAAAAAATGTACTTGCGTACTAATTTAAAAAATGCTGTCATATGTTTCAGATGTAATTTTGCAATTCAAAACAGTCTGAATATTCTTCTTACGCCTTTATTTGTTGCAGGAAACATGAAAGAAAACTGAAGCATGATGAAATACGCAAGAAGTATGGTATGTGGTAATCTTGGGTTGATACTCAGTATCTAAACTGAATCCTTTTTCCTAATTATTATTATTATTAAAATTCACAGCAGAAACAAGCTGCTTCATGAGCAGCAGAAGTAATCAAGCAGTTTCTTACTGATGCATATCTTCTGTCACCTGAACACCTGATCTCATCACTATTATGCTCCTGTTCTTTTCCCACACTGACTCTCCCACTGGGCAAGAGACAACATGCTTGATGGGGTGTTTGCTTGTGGTGGGCATTTAAATATATTGATTAAAATAAGTAGTTCTTTCTGCCTCTTCCTAAGTAAAAGTACCAATTTGGGGTTTTGTTTAATCTGGTTAAAATTAGCTAGTAGGTAGACTCATGGTTATTGAGGGAGGATAGACTGAGTAGCAGATAGCAAGCTTTTTAAATCAAGCTTAAAAAAGGTTGTAGGATGCAGCCTAACATAAGGATTAAATTTGTTGGTTTTTCTTTGTTTTTTAAGTGGTGCTCTCTGGTAGGAGAAGAGTATCATAAGACTGCAGGACCTGCTGTGTTGTATAGGAGGCTTTATTATCTAGGCTTGTCAGTGCTTGCACTTTTCACTTGATTTGTTCATAGGGTTAATAGTACTGTATATTCAGAGACAGATATGCTAAAACTATGCTGCGCTTATTATGCAAATTGCACTAATGTCAGAGAAGGTGATTCTAGGGGTCTGAACAGTCACTCATAACTGTTAATTTTCATCCTCTTGTTAAACTGATTGGCAGAGTCTGGGAATGCCTTGATGTATCTGCAGCCTGCCCTTTGGCTGCTGCAGAAGTGATACAGACAATCTCTATAGGCAATTCTTTGCCTGGGGAACATTTGCAAAAGTATGTCCCTTTGCTGGAGTGGAGAAAAACTTCACTGTGAAGGTTGAGCTGCAGGAGGAAGAATGCTGTAAAAGCTAGAAGTAATTTTTGTTAAATATCAGGCATGAATTTCAGTCCTGTGTTATTTTATAGGATAATTGACCCTGTATCCCAGCCACTTGAATTCAGTTTCAAGAGGTTTGAGAGGCTGACAATAGTCCAGATTAAATAAAACAGAAACAATCCAAACAACATCATAACAACACATGCCTTTTGTGTTTGTTTCTCCTTTTACCTCTAAGGTTTCTTCTATCTCAACAAGTTTGAATCATTGGGCTAGATCTGAAGAACTGAAGACAATGGCTATGTATCCAAAATAACATGCAGCACTCTGTACAGATATACAATATAACTTTGCATCTCCTTGAGGCAGTGCACCTGAGAGGAAGGGAACAGGTCCTGAATGAAGTGTAGCAGTTAATGTATCAAAGCACTGCACTGGGGTTAAGTGATGTTTCAAAACGCTGCATTCAGTTGTATTCTGCTTGTGGAACTAGTTCAGTTGTCTCTGGATGGTCCTACGTTTTGGTGAAGACAATTCTTTTTTCAGTGCTTAACTTTCAGACCTTTGCAGAATGCTTTTTTGCATCTTCTTTGGAATATTGACTTTCATGAGGAATTTCAATAGGACACTTCTATATAAAATTGATTTATGGACAGGTTTGCTTTATTGCATATGCAAAGATCAATTTATATTGTCAGATATATTGATTTGAGGCCTGGATTCTTATAATTAATTTTTGTCCTAGAGAAAAACCTAACTCTAATGTGAATAGTTGGCACATCCTGAAAGGATGTATGTAACTGAGAAAAAAATGAAAGACAAAATATGTATAAAATCTGAAAACCCTAAATATTCTTGCCAATGTATATAGTTTATATTCTGATAACATGCAGACAAATGATTGTCAAAATAATTCAGTGAAACTTAATATACAGTAAGTTTTGCTATAGCCTTGGATCTTCAGTCTTCATTTTTCACTGTCTAGTAAATACATATGTTAGCATATTAAAAATAATCTAATAAAAATTGCTGCAAATAATTATGGAGACATCAGATTATTTTACACTCTTGTGCACTGCAGAGAGGATTCTCAGTTAAGTAGGCATGGATGAGTGGCAGAACAACAATGACTTTGTTAACCTGACTTAGTAGATTAAAATGATCATGCCTGAAATTTCAGTATTTGGTTGGCTTTAAGGGAATGCCTTTTCCCATTTCATCCACCAGCTTTCCTTACCCCATTTAAATGGTAATTACACATTTATAATGCATTGCAGGTGTCACTCTAGCCACAGTCCTTTGGGAGCATTGGAAGCAATAGAAAGCTTTAGCAACCAGGAATACACACTTTGAATTGTTTCTTTGTTGCACGATTTGATAGTATTTTTCATTTGCTCATATATATGAATGCAATATGATTACACAAATTACATGTTGACTGTTAGAAAAATTTAAAGGAGAATTCAGAGTACTTTGCAGCTTGTGTAGTATACAAAGGAACTACAATTTAATTGCTGCTGCATTTGCTGCTATTGTATGTTCAGTATAGCACTAGTGAGAAGCTGCTTTATTTATTTATTTCAGGATTGTGCCTGATATTAGTGGAAACATACTTTCTCTTCATTTTTACAAATTATTGCCTTTCATGATTTTGGGCTTCCACACAATTTGCTTCAGTTCTGCAAAGGTTTTGATCAGCTAATTTAATGATATGTAACCCTATCTCCTTCATTTTGAGATGTTGATTTTTATATTTGGTAGTTTGTCACAGTAAATGTTCCTTCTATTCAAGATAGATACTTTATCTTGACCTTCTTTAGTGTTCTGAATGCAAAGCAGAGAAACCTTGTATTGCTATGTGCTGAAAGCTGTATAGTTTGTTAAGAATAGAGTTGTTAATCTGAAGGTTAAACATAAAGAGGAAAAGTATAATAAGGGGGGAAGATATGCAACAAACTGGGGGGGGGTTCAGCATATACAGTTTTCTGTTTCACATGTTAATTCTATTTTTTGGGCAGTGCTGGTGTGTGGTGAGACATCTTGATGACTGAAGCTGCATAGTTAGTATAGTACATAATACTGAATATGCTGGAAAGAGGTATTAATTTCTTACAATTGCTTTATAATTTCATGCATATTAATAGGCCTCATTACTTCATACAAGCTAATGAAAGATGCTTGACTAGTATACTTTTCACATTTTTAAGTTCTTAAATACTAAGTAGATCAAATATTAACTTCAAAAGGGAGGGTAAATAGAAGTAAAATTTTAGAAGTTCTCGTAAGGGCCCCGTGTGTCAATATTAAAGTTCAGCAGTAACACATAATGGACTTTGTTGCAAACAAGACTCCTGGAGCTACTAACATTTAGCTGCTCTCAACCCCTAAGTGTAAATTACAAGTTGGGTAGTTGCTCTCATGTCAAATTGGAAACAGCTGAGAGAGACAACTCATGTCTGGTTCAAGGCAGTGCATGAGCTTTAGTTGAAACAGACATGCTATCCTATTAGCATAGGCTTGCAGCTTCTCTTTGAGTGTCATGGCTAAGAGCAGCTGTGGCAGCTGACAGGAGCTTTTTGTCATGCTCCTTTTTTTATGTCTCTCTAGATTGTTTTTGTCCACTTACTGGAGCCTAATACAGCTTCTTCAGTAAGAATTGGTACAAGAGATGAGCTGCTGTCTCTCTCCTCTTGCATAATGTAATCTTGTGATGCACTTAGAATGCTGATAAGAGAAATTTAAACACTGGATGCAGATTTGAGAGCAAGACTGAGAGCAAGGTCTGTCAGACATTGTTACCTCTGTGGCTATCTTTGTTTGCAAGGAGAGTTTGCCTTTTCTTTAGAGTACCTTCTTTTCTGGGAAATGAATTTTTTGAAGTCATGATCACACTAATTTGACCCATAGTTCTTAAGTCCTGTTTAGTTCCAGTGTTGCACCATACAACAGATCAGAGAAATTTTAAGTTAAACATACTAGTGTCTCACTGGTGATAATTATATCTGTTCGTTCCTAAACATAATTCATTAAAATTAAAGCAAGTATGACTGGGAATGGCATTTGCAATAATGGGTAAAAATGACACATTCATTTGAAATATGAGGACTAGTTATCTAAAATGTCTTTTGGCTGAATGTTTTGGGGAAGAGGCAGATAAAAGTATATTTGCTCCTCAGAGTGGCATAGGAAAAAATTTATCAGGAGTCTTACACCATACTCTGATTAATTTGAAATTGGCAATACTGGGTGTAGAACATTGTTTCTATTTGATTTCAGCTGTTTAAGCTGTAAGAGAAGGGTGTCTAGTGTTTTACTATGCTAGTTTCAGACTTATGAAGTGTCAGGTATGTATCTTGGATGAAATATAATAAAGACATAATGAGCACTTGCTAGACTATATAGAGAGAATTCTGCAACCTATGTTAATTTTGGCAGGGAACCTGGTACATCTTGTAACTTTGTGGAATAATTTTTTGAATTTTGGTGCCTTCGTTTCTAAATGAAACTTAGAAATGTGCAGGGAGTTTTTGCAATGTCAGTAGTAATTAAAATACATTAATTTTTAATACTGTTGCTAGTGTTCTGTATGTGTTGTATAGATGTGTTTTGTATCTGGGAGGGGTGAAATACAGAAGAACTGCAAGAATTCTTGAAAATTGGGCTATTCAGTTGTCTTTCAGGTAACTAAATATATTAGAATCCTAGCTGCCCAAAGTATCAACATGTCTGGAGGAAGGAGGGGGTAGTGGTCTGGAAATAAAGCAAATGTTTCTTCTCTGTATTTGGATTGGAGTTATATTAATGCAGGAATGTTACCTGAAGGCACTAAAGCTTGAACACAGGCCAAGGATAAGAGCTTTTTATGTGTTAGCTTACCTGTCAGCTAAAGCAGATTTAACAGGCATTAAACTCTTTGTTTAAAGACATGAAAGGTAAGATTAAAACTTGAGAAGTAACTGCTTTCTAAGTGTTTAAAAATATAAAAATCTGTGAAGATCTCAAAATATTGTAGATGATTTTTGACAATGCTGTCATCTAACCATATTCTTATTGCTCAAGTGCTTAAGAGATACTAATTTTTTCTTTTAAAGCAATT